AACGGGATGTCAACCCATAAAACAAACAAAAAGTTCCTAAAAGCCTAAACATATGATCATTTGCACGACTAATAAATAATTAAAAATTAAAGTTTTCAAACTTTCACTCTCCAAAAAGGTCGCCTAGAAAACAAAGAAAAATAGGATCGACTCTCGAAAATTCAAATATTATTCAGTTAGGAAGTACTTTCCAACCAAAATAACATCGAAAAACTCACCCATCTCCATTTGTACGGACGGTTGACTCCTAAACACTCCCAAAATCTCTCGGAATTAGGAAGAACCTTACCAAAAATAGGGCACAAATTTTGACCATTCACTTTAAAGTCAACAAAATTCTTGACACGTGTGAATATAAAATGATTTTTAAGTATTTATAAACAATGTATAAACGAGAACCATACATAAACATAATTATTTACAAAACAGTTATATTAAGAGCTTGTTTGGTAAAGATTTTTGGGGGAATAACTGATTTTGAATAGTGATACGATGAGAAATGTGTGGTTGAAAAAGAAGAAAAATTATTGATGTGATAGAAAATATTATTTTAATGAAAAATGTGTGGTTGAAAATGAAAATTGATTTACTGTAAAAAAATTCAAATCCCTCCCAAACATGGCATAAATTAGGGATGGCAATGGAAAGATGCATTTCTCTCCATCCTCACCCTGCTTTATGAAAATTCCCGGAAAGCAAAGGCTGGTAAAATATTCTCTTTTATAACTTCATTTATTTATTTTTGTTAAAATAAAATAAAACAAATAAGACATTACAAGTTTAGCCCATGTTTGACAACCGTTTTACAAATTATATTTCTCTTAAACCCATTTTTACAAATTTTATTTTACAAGCAAGCGCTTGTATCGCGTGCAAGTAATAAAGTGGATAAACGAGTCCGAGTTATCAATATCACGAGAACGGTTACTCAATTAGACAATAGTTAAATTAAAATCAACAACAAAATACACAATAAATTTGAATTTTACAAATGATAAAAAAGCTTAAAATTCTAACAAAAAAATTAACGAAAAGACCATAGACAATAGGCTGAACAACGAAACCGTCAATCGCAAAATCAAACTGAAATCGTTTTTTTTTTTAATTGTTGGTTTGAATCCACGTGGATCCGTCAACGTTTTGGTTTTGAACCAAACCAAACAGATTCGAAGTTATTTCAATTTTTACAAACCGTTTCAAACCATCATACTGCTTACAAAAAAAATTTTAAAATAATTAATCTAAATTGTAT